TTTTTTCATGCGTGCGTAGTTAGCGTATGACGTACATGTAGTAAATAATGAGTTCGGTCAAGAAATTCGGAAAATGAGCGGGGATTTGTCATTTCTACTGGCTGAAATTAAACCCAAACGCTCACAACAACTATTCGTAGCGCGTATAAATATTTCGACCTGTCACCATAGAAGAGCGTAATTTACCGAAGAAGATGCAGCACCATTGTGGACCAATGCAATCCATTGTGGAAGCCAGCTGAGTATAAGTACGCACCTCGTTTTCGTGCAAGATCACGTGCGTTCGCGCAGCGCCGTACTCTCGCGGGACCGCTTTTCAAAATGGCCGCGGAGATTGGAATTACGTATATTTTACAACGATAGGCTGAAACCTCACCTTTCCCGATGACCAGGAATGCTGGAATCGCTAGAGGGTCTATTATACACCAGATTTGCTAAATAATTATGAAAATATTATGCAGGTTTTTATAGACTTATTGCACGTTTTTTTAATAGTCTCTTGTCTAAGTATCTGCCAAATTTCATGGTATTTCGTTGCATCAAACTGGAGATATACTTGATTTTCTTGGAAGCAATGTGTTATCTGTATTTCCCCTATTTTTCGGGACCAGGCTTTAACGTCCCAGAGTTGAATATGATACAACGAGAGTGAATTTATATGACATACAATTGTATCCTTTCAAAAATCGTATCTGACGTGTACCTTTCCTTTTTTCCTCGAGACGACTGGGGTAACTTAGCGGAAGCTGAGGAGGAACAGTCCCGCAGACTGGCCACGTTTAAGGCATACTGTGAGAAAAATATCTCAACGGTAACGTAACGATGGTTGACGAATTTCTTTGCACAACTATAAAATAACGGTTCAGGTATCTTTCTGCAAGTTTTTATACTTCATTTTGAAACTGGGTGTCACTACAGTAAAAAACATGGGATGCCGAACGGGACTAATTCCCCCATCACGGGCCATTACCGGAGAGGATTTCTCACGACATCTAACTGCAGTAGGAAGTAGAACAATTTACTCTAAGAAAGGTAGCAGGAGAAATACCGGGGTATTGGTAGGTTTATAGCCTCCCGCTATTAATGTAGAGCGTAATAGTTAACCTATGCTGATGAAATTATTTACGTAAGTAGCCTTTTGTGTTTCGTTTGGTATCCACTCTGCTTCTGTTTCTCTGAACAAACGAGCACCAACAGTTTGCTTCAGTGTTAGCATAGTAATTAATTAATAACAAAGATGTACATATAACCAACAAAAAATGACTAACAATTTTTTCTTAACTTTGTTAAATTACCTTCCCCATGTCTTACAAAAACAACACTAAATCTTTTAGTGCATATAGCACATTTAAAAATGAGTATGCTTGCATTAAAAAATGAGTCCCAAGGGATTACTTCCCTGCTAGCTGTAGCGTCCCTGTATTGCTCAAGGTATAAAGACACGGAGTACTGACGAAACATAATATCTTGATTTTGCGGCTGAGTACTTGAGTTATAATATATTTATTGCGTCCTTTTAAAGTTTTTTTCTCCATTTCCAGGGTGATCCAAGGAAAGTCAGTGTTCAGAGCCACCTATTGTTTTATGATAACATTAAAACAATGTACTGCTACATCCCTAAGGTTGCATGCAAAACAATGAAACTATTATTTTACAATCTAGAGCACAATACAACCGAAAGGTTGATTAGTGTTGGTACTGCCGATTTCAAAGGAAGGAAAGATAATTATATCGCTCCTAACGAGCACAAGGGTGGCTGGATCCACTCACGAGGGCATAAAAAAATGAAGCACTACAGTGAGGAAGAGCTAAGTCTGCGTCTTGCGACCTACAGGAAGATCATCGTTGTTCGTGACCCGTTGGAAAGGTTAGGTTTACTTTTCTTAATATAATTTAGGTATTTTATTAATGTAGCGCCCGACGAATAGTGTTGTTTCTCATTTTACCCTGACTGGACACAAGTGTAATGGAAGTACGTGTATTCCGTCAACGACTTCTATTATAAGTGCAAAGCGCACTGCGTCGTTTTCACTATTATTTTTTATTATAAGACGTAATGAGACCCTTGCAATTTGAACATATGCAAAAGTTGAGAGCAATAAGTCGGTCCCTGTAATGTAGCTAGCTGCCGCCGTGCCGTGTACCTGCTAAGCTGCTGTGCTACGCCGAAGGGTGGTCATTCAAGCTATACCAAAACAGATAAATGTAGAACTTGTAGACCCTTTAAGGCAACAATAAACAAGTTTTATGGATGACATCCTCCACAGACTCCAGATCTAATGCGATAGAGTTAAGGGGGACAAAAGAGAAAAAACAAGACTCCTGGCTCATTCTCATTAGGATGTGTAGCCTCTACCAGGCTTGGGGAGGCGGCTGGAGAGAGTAGAAATCGGCCAAATAGAGAGATAAGCATGGCAAGGGAGTTTGTCCGTTGAGAGAACAGTTCGCCGCACCCCAAGCCTGTCGGGAGTCGCCATTTCTTTGAAGTCCACTAATCGCTATCTTATAGGTACCAAGTAGCTAAATTACACTTTTATTGCTTTGCGACTGTGCCGTGACGGACAGTGACATGAACAATTCAACATGAGGTCAAGAAAATTTCATAGCGGTACATTTTCCGTCCATAGCGGTGCATTTTCCCATCAAAAGAAACGCAAAACTCCAAGAAAAGAGAACCCTACAATATTCAAGACCATCCCGAGAAGCAGCATGGGACCCCGTTTTCAACCTGCATGCTTCCCTGTCGCTAACGGCGTGGGGTACAATAGCCGCTCAGGGGTACAATGGCCGCGCCGCACCCGGAACACACTTAAAAGTTACCGTGGGGTGCAGCCGGCAATAATCCGTGTTAACTAATATTATTTCCAATATCAGTATAACTATATATTTTTTAATTCCCGACAGTATACAGTTTGTTTAACCATAGTACCGGCCGGCGCTGTCTTCTCCAGACGTATACACATGGGCACGGCTCCCCACGACGCGCTGGTTGGTTTATTGCTTAAATGATCTTCTGCGCTGAGATAGTTCTTTTGTTGGATTAATGGGGGGATTACTAATATGCCGTTTGATCATGGCGACTTCCGACAGGCTTGGGGTGAGACGAACTGTTCTCTCATTGAACAAAATCCCTTGGCATGCTTATCTCTCTATTTGGCCGATTTCTAATCTTTCCAGTCACCTCCCCAAGCCTGGTAGAGGCTAAAGATGTGCAGAATGATGATTTTAGGGTCGAAAAAACGATTATCTGCTTCTTTAGGCACACCAATCGCATTTCTTAGGAAAACACCTCAATTAATGATTACCCAAAAATTACAGCTTAATTTTCATAGGAAGTTACCGAATTTATGAATCTATGAACATCGACAAGATATTTTTTAAAACAATGCAATTTTTGTGCAGCAAAACATCGGAACATCAGAATGAACCGGGTGTATAAAACGCCGTTATGACATTACCTCAAAATCCAATAGTTTAGGCATCAGTGTTTATGGAACTACTTATGTAGTACATTATATACTGGCACATATACACGTATCGAACACATGAAGATAGCTAAGTGTAGTTAACTTTGGAAGCAAAATCTCAAAGAAGGCTACAACATTTGAGTCTGATGAGGACATTGAGGGTTATTGTCCTTTCGATGCAAATGTTTTCTACTTTACTATCAAATATATCGTAGACTATGCATGATTATGTATAATGGTCAAGAGGAATATATATAATTATGTATAATTATATATAATTATATATAATTATGTATAATACTATACATACTATGTATATTATTATACATAATGGTTAAAAGGGATATGTACGTATAATGGTTAGAATAGTTGTGTGCAATTATGTATAATGGTGAAAACAGCTATATATATTTATGTACAATGGTTACAAGAGATATGTATAATTATGGGGAAATGGGTTATCTATAAATATGTATAATGGGGGAAGTGGTTATGTATCATTATATATAATGGGGAAGAGGGTTATATATAATTATGTATGATGGTAAAAAGGGATATATATATATAATTATATATAATGGACAAATCATTATATATAATGATTAATATTAACATATATAATTATGTATAATGATAGCATAATTATATGTTATTGGACTACTCCCTAGGGACCAATTGAAACATTCCGCATAATTGTCACATAAAAAAAAACATCTTTTTTTTAAATAAAGCCTAAATATGCAATGGAAATAATCAAGACCTTCCATGTAAAAAAACCACCGCCATCTTAGATTTTCACCAATGACGTCTTCAAATTAGCATACATTATGCAGAACTATTGAAAAATTACATTAAATTAAATAAGATGTTATTCATGTCACAAAGAACGTGTAACTGAGGCTATCGCTCTTGACAGAACTGGTTGAAGGAACCTGACAGAGGGGAGCAAGGGGCCAGTACCTGGCCTGGGCACTTAGGCAGGCAGGCAGGAACGTGTAACTTAACACAAAAGCCTAAAATGTTAAAACTTAAATTACAGAATATCGCAAACATGACTCTCAAAAAGTTGTTGCCATGGCAACACGAAAAATTGTTAACTTGTCTCACTGGTATACTTATTTATTTTTATAAAGTTATCTCACTAATTTTGCCCACTGTAAGTTTCTGCAGGCATTTTTAACCCCCGTCCTCGTCTAGGTAGGGTTAAACTTTTCTAAATTGAACTGGCTTCATCGTCACCTTAGGTTGGCATCTGCGTGGCTTAACAAGTTTGTCAACATGGCAGCACATGGAACTTTGAGCTGGGTGAAGGGTTTAAATCGTCGCCTGACAAACTACCGAAGGAGTATCCTACCAGACCAGGTACGGCGCTTTTCCGTAGGTTGGAATACATACTTACTTACATTACGGTGGTAAAATCTGGGTTGCAAATATCCCTTTTTTTTAAATCCCAAACTTTGTTCGTTCGTGTTTAATCTGTGTAATTTAAACCTCCCGTCATTTACGATTGACCTGCAAAAAGAGGCCATTCTTCCTCCGTGCCACGCAACAGAAAACAGTTTCCCGGACAGTACTTATTTTAATTTATTTTAGCCATATAACATTTTGCGAAAAATACTGTCGTATTCGTTGGTGACGTTACATACTGTAATAGTTTTTTTTTTTTTACACCAGTGTCAATAACGCCTCTTTCGGGCTTAATGACTTGCAAGGAAATTCCATTCAAAATTGAAAAAAATCAGAGTCTAACATACCTCATTTACCTCTCAAAATGGTTGTTACGGTTGATCCCAAAAACGTGTTGAATGGGATTTATTTAATATCCTCAATTTTGAAAAATAAGTAATTTAGTGCAAAAAAATGGCCAAACTATCCTTTTACCAATATGTCGAAAAACTGTAAATTTTATAAAAACTATACTTAAAGTCAGATGTCTAAAACTCGACTTTTGACCTTATTCCTAACCGTAAAAAATAACCATCTTTCGGTGCAAAATTATGAACAGTTATTAAGTTAATGAAAACAGCTAACATGACGACAATTCGTTTATTTGTTTATTTTGTTTTGATTTCTCTCATAGTGAAAGGGAGGAAACAGATACATACGCACCTTTAGAAGTTGCCCTCCCCAATACAAAAACACATATACAACATTAAAATTACATGGTCAATAATAATAAGTATAAAAATACACAGAATAGGCTATCAATACAGAAGGTTAAGCATAATTCGAATTTATCTAGTCGGTAGTTATAATACATTGTGTTGAAACAAGACTTAGACAAAATGACAGTCATAAATTAACATGTTGTAGTGTCCGAAGAGATGTGTAGTGTCCCTGGTGATTGTATACCAGTGATTTAAGATAAAATATGCGAGTGAAATAACATATTTTAGAACAATGTTGTAATTTTTAAAGAAATGCGTACCCTCTTTTAGTTCTGTAATGTCATACTTCACATTGGAAGCAAATCAATGGAGGATACAACGAATTTTCTTGTTATATGCCAAATGAGATGTAGTGTCTGTAATGTCCGTACTGTGCCATTGTAACGTAATGCACTAAGGTTTGAAGGAGCGTATCTTTAAAACCATTCATCGCTATCCAGAAATTTAAAAAGCACCATGCATGGCCTGGTATCACTTGTAGGTCTGGTTTCTGTACTGAAAGTGGTACATTTTGAAACTTGAAAAAAGTGCAACACCCTGGTACACCCTGATCTTGGAATAGACGAATGGGGAAAATACCGAAGCAACAGACCCCCGAGAATGCGTATTTCAATACATAAAAATGGATTAAAATATCCAAATAACTCAAACTTCTAGCTTTGCAGCAGGATTTTACTGTACTTTCCAACACAATGAAAACGGTTTAAGTGCTCCTATTTGTGTCATGAAATCTGCAACCTCACAGTTTGCATATAAGGCAAGTGACTATAATTTGCAAAACGTTAACATCTGTGGTATCCCTGTCTATTTGAGATTCTAGTTGTGAGATGTATGAAGCTTATTTAATTCCTATCTTAAGGGTAATTTGTATTCTATCCATTCTAGTCGAGCATTGTAAAAGAAGAAGCAACATTCAACGCAACAAAACCAGTGCCTTTTCGAGATTTCCTCTTTGGTGTTTCGCAAAAGGTAATTGTGGACAATGAGCACTGGACATCGTTCAACAGGCTGTGCCAACCATGCCAGGTACTTTGATAAACTCCTTCCGTAATTCAGTTTTTGTCATACCAGGCCGCGAAAACGTTCGATACAGGAATTACGGCCCTTGTGATAACTAGCGGTACGGCCCGTGGTTCTCTTTTATTACCACATGGACTTGAATAGTTGACTATTCACACTGCGCAGTCATTGGTACATCCTTTATGAGTTATGGGGCAGTGCCGGAGTCGCGCGGCGAGGCCGAGTCCCACTATATAAATTATAGGATAATGGGGTGGGTCAAAATTGTTTTTTTTT